CACACACACACACACACACACACACACACACACTCACACACACACACTTTCTGGCACAAACACACACACTCAAAGGAGGATGGGCTAAACCCCGGACCAGAAGTTCACATGTCCTCAGTCGTCTAGCTCCAAACTTTCTCTCAACTTGTGAAAAAGTCTTCCTGTTTCCTGCTGTTCCCTCGGGCCTTTCCTCTCACAAAGACCTGGTTTATTCTGTTACCTGCATCATTTACCTACGGGGGAGAGAGAGGAGGGAGGTGCATAAAGCACCTTCACTCAGCCTGCCGCACCTTCCTTCCTTCCTCTCGGGATTTTCCACATCCGAGCACAGAGCTCCACTTTGTTTTGATGTTTTTGAACGTGGAACTGCTCAGGTATGGAGGAGAGGAAGGGGTGATCTGACTTTCTGTACCTGGCTTTGGATGTGGCAGATATTTCCCACGCTGCTTTTCCTTTTTTTTTTCCTCAATGGGAAATGGAGTTGTGATGAGAAATGGGACGTAGGTAGACACGCTTGACTGTGGCAGAGAAAGTTGAAAGAAAACAAAGAAAGAGGGTGCACTTGAAATGAGGTAATCTACAATCGTCATAATTGCTTTACTTCCAGAGGGACATTTTTGTCATGGGGAGTTTTGTCAGCGTCTTTTTTATAAGGATTATCATGTGATGATTGGAAATTCTTTCTCCGGGACGCTTGTGTTTAGGATGCCACATCCATCGCAGTGAGTGCTGCAGTGGAAGAGGAAACACATGGCCTCTCAGACTATTGACTTCTTCACTGACAGCAAATAATTGACCATTCCAGGGAGTTTGTCTGACCTGAACCATAACATTAAGGAGAGAGAGGACGCATCAAATGAAAGATGGACTATACCTCGTTTTGTATGACATCAGAACAATTTGTGCCCTCTTTAACTTTTACTTGCTGAAAATAATGACTGAAAAGCAGACGAGAGACGCGGCTTTCTGACTCCGCACAATCCCTTCATCTCTAACAAAGCTCAGTTTCTCTGATGACCCAGTTGCCATGGTGACCCTAGTGACTGTGTGAGCTTTCCGGACCATGCAATACTTTGGAGGGAAGATGTCGGCCGCCCAGCTCCAGGTGGCGGGATGGGTGGGCAGCGTGCGGCGCTCCTTGCAAGGGGCTCTGGAGCTGGTGTGGGGCCCTGCGGAGGACACGCAGAAGAAGGAAGAGGAGGATAAAGTGGACGAGGTGGAAGAAGAGCAAGGTGGCGATGGCGAAGGAAGCTTTCAAAGAGCTATGACGCCACTTCGCAGCTTCGCCAGACGTAGCAGGAGATCCCTGCGTCGCTTTTCTGACAGAAGTCGGCAGACCCTTCAGAGGAGAGGCCCTGAAACGTGCTCTGTAAGAAAGAGAGGATGTAGCAGGAAGTAACAGCTTAGAAATATATATCCAGTTCTAATGAATAGGACTGAATAATGACAACCTCATTTTTAAATAATTGCCTTTTAAAGGTTTGTTTCAACTGACATTAAGTAAAAGAATCAGCAGCTTTTAGGGCCTGGGTTAATCAAATTAAGAGCCATGGTTATGGGTGCTTTTTACAATATGCTCCAGGGTTATATCTCCCCGCCCATGTGTCAACAGATAACCATGCAAATGTAGAGAGGGAGAGCAGAAGCTTCAGGAAGGAAGCAGCTATCTGATAAAATTGTCCAAATGTAGTGTTTTATCAGCGTACATGCACGCCCTATCCCTCTGTGTCTGTGGTGTGTGTCAGAGATAAAGCAGATGACTACAACAAAGTGTGACACACTTAGACAAGGTTTATGTTTACATCTGTATTCAGGCTGATCACATTTACTCATGGCTGGCGCAGTTATATATCATTACATTAGAGTCCATTACATTGGATCACAATAGTGCTGTTACTAACTAACAATTATTTTCATTGTGCGTCAATCTAAGGAGAACTTTCTGGATAAATCAATTAGTTGTTTAATATTGAAAAATGTTGACTCTTAAAAATAATACTCAAGGTAATTCATCATTATTATAATTAATTTTATAGCAACGACGAATACATTAGTTTTTTCCGCTCTTAATTATAACTATTTATTGTAATATTAGTTTTCTTATGTTCTGATGTTTGGAAAAAAGAACACTGCAGTACAGTTTATCTAAATATGACGGTATACTATTGTTGAGTTATCAAGATCAAGATTTAGCAAAAGAGCGATGAAAAGAGTGTTTGTTGTTGTTGACATCGTGCTCTGCTTTGGAAATGAAAGACAAATGTATGTTTGGGTGCCGGCTGCAATACAGGAGCCAGTTCTTTTGAGACATACAGGCTGAGAACTATTCTGGTAGTTTTGCAGTGTTTACTGTGGCAGCCTGGGGCATGTGTGTGTGTGTGTGTGTGTGTGTGTGTGTGTGTGTGTGTGTGTGTGTGTGTGTGTGTGTGTGTGTGTGTGTGTGTGTGTGTGTGTGTGTGTGTGTGTGTGTGTGTGTGTGTGTGTGTGTGTGTGTGTGTGTGTGTGTGTGTGTGTGTGTGTGTGTGTGTGTGTGTGTGTGTGTATATGTGGGTGTGAGTACACCACAGAGACCAAAAGGTGAAAATAAGCTGCAGGCTGTATCCACTTTGATGATCCATCACTTTCCATTATAAGAGTAGATCTGTTGTTGTCAGTCTTCATCTCTTACTTGTTTTAGAGTCACAGTTGTGTGTGTGACAGCTTTAGATGTTATCCTCTCCCCTGCACCAAACACAAGCTGTCTCACACATTCCTCTGGTCTTGACAAAAATGTTTTGGATGTAAACTATAATAAAGTCCACTCTGTCTTGACTTGCACATCCTCCGCCCACCCAAGCATACTGTCCTGGCACACACTCATAGGTATATTGCAGTTTAGAGATCCTTCTATGGTGAAGTTAGTAAAGCATCTGGTTCTTATGGCTGCACTTAAAGGCTGTTGCTTTGGAGTGTCCATAGTGTGTATGTACTGAATCGGCTGCAGTGTACATTAATAGATTGTTTCTGATCTTTTTTCAACAAGCTGGTGAACGTAGTACAGCACTTAGCTGCTAATTTCCTAAGGAGTTTATGGAAGCTAAAGATAGAGCTTAAAGAGTAAAACACGGATTTATATTTGTTGGGTGGCTAAAAACATTATTTCAAATTAAGTTTAAAGTTGCTTAATAACTGCTATGGACAAATATGCACCTGTTTGCTTACTTTGCTAACATATTCACTTCAGCTAGCACTCCAACACATTGTACTTGACAGGCTAAGGGCGAGACATCTTTAAGCCGTTGACCAATCACAACAGAGCCAGCTAACCAATCAGAGCTGACTGGGCTCTGGTTTCAGACAGAGGGTGAAAAGAGGTGCTGCAGCACAGGCAGTATGAGCAAAATAAAGACCTTTTTGAACATTAAAGCATTATACATGTCACAGCAGAGGCACAAAATACAAATATAAACCTGTAACCATAACATGTCCTCATTAATGAACTTTTGCTTTAAAATCATAAGAACCTTTTTGGAAGAGTATCCAGGATACATTTTTTAGAGTCACATGTTTTGCTGCAAATAAATAATATAAGCACGGGGGAGATTCAGGATGAATTCACGTTGGTGGAATCCCCTAACTGTAGCCTGTTTGTCTCTGTGAGAACGGACCTTGTTTTCCTCTGCACCTAAACACAGTCTGTGGTTATAGGAAAATCACTAGAAGCCTATTCATTCATGCTCTGATGTTGCCAGATAACAGGCATTGTGCAAATGAAGCTGCAGCTGCTGCTGTGTGAGTAATAAACGGACTTATGGAGGAGATGAAATGTCGGGGATGTTTACCCGGGTGTTGTTTGGTGACAATATCAGACAACGCAACACTGGGAGGTGCCCCTTGACTAAATGTGAGCTTAAAGGAATGTTTGCGAGGAAGTGCACTGCAGTAGCTTTTGTCTGCACGTTTGTGTGTGTGTGTGTGTGTGTGTGTGTGTGTGTGTGTGTGTGTGTGTGTGTGTGCGCACCCATGCATTCCATCATGTGGGCGTGACAGCAGCAGCATGAGTGTGTTTGGTGTGTCTGTGTGTAGGCATATAGGTGTGTATGCCAGTGCTCATGGTGTTTATTGAGGACAGCCCAGCCTCTGTGACCGGCTCATTAAAAGATGCATGCTCGGCTGGTCCTCGGCCCTCTCTCCCTCTGTAGTTACTGATCTTGGCTCAGCACACGGTCCTGTTCACCCCCCC